ACAAAAATGACCCATTTCTGGCCAGAATTGTTACATGTGACGAAAAGTGGATTCTCTACGATAACACTAGACGTTCTGGACAGTGGCTCGACAAAGGAGAAGCTCCAATACATTTTCCAAAGCCCCCAACTCATCAAAAAAAGGTAATGGTTACGGTATGGTGGGCTTCATTTGGTTTAATACACTACAGCTTCTTAAATCCTGGCGAAACCATCAATGCTGAATCATACTGTAACCAAATTAATACCATGCATCAGAAATTGGCAGTAATGAAGCCCTCTTTGGTCAATCGGAAAGGGCCCATTTTGTTGCATGACAACGCTCGACCACATGTGTCACGTGTAACGTCACAAAAATTATTGGAGCTTGGCTATGAAACTTTGCCTCACCCACCCTACTCTCCGGACCTCTCGCCTACTGACTACCATTTTTTTAGACACCTGGACCACTACTTACAACACATAATATTCAAAAATCAAACGGAACTGGAAAATGCATTTATTGACTTTATCAATTCTAAAAATTCTGAATTCTACTCAGACGGAATTAATAAGTTACCAACACGTTGGGAGAAATGTATTGAGAGTATGGGAAATTATTTTGATTAAAGAACATTGCTTTAAAGTAACTAGTTTCTTTTTTTTTGTTTAATACCAAAATCCTGCATTATTTTCCGGACAACCCAATAATTAGTGCTTTTTGATTTCTTTCAGAAACATACTTTTTTATCATACATATTGTGATAATATGATTAATTTCTTTGTGTATTGGGATAATTACAAATCATAAGACACATGTGTGTGTACTTTGAAGCTTTTTCTTAACCAATTAATTAATCTTTTTATGTAAGGTTTTTGGTTGAAATGAAAAAGTCAGTGTCACGAGCGGGATTCGAACCCACGACCTTCGGCTAAATTCGCCGCTGCTCTACCACTTGAGCTATCGTGACTTCGATCCACCCGGACACCAGCTCCCTACAACCTTTCGAATTTTCCCTCCTTTTTGCCATTTTTCATTTCAACCACAAACCTTACATAAAAAGATTAATTAATTGAAAGAAGTAATTTGGTCATTAGACCACTAAATATAATGGTTTGTTAACCGTCAAACCAGTTGTCATTTATTTTTGTGTTTGCCCGATATAAAAGATTAGTGGTGAATTATTTGTACGGGTTGGGTCCAACGTCGGTCCTTGTGTGAGGTGACACATCACGCAACCTCTTCGTGACAGTGACGCTAAACACAAACCATTACATCTACTTAAAGAGGACAGGATAGGCCCGAAGATAACAATGCCTTCAAAACCTCTCACAACAATCCCACGAGGCGCACGAACCACTCTTTAACGTATTACGTACTTTTCAATCCTTGGTATTCGTCCCGGCTAATTTATTATTCGGCAGGCGTTTAACATGAAATCGGTGAAACACCCCCCCCCCCATGGTCGGGATGATCCAGGAGCCGTCCGACGGGCGTGAAGCCTTCCTTTTCTTTGTTTTTTTTTTTCTGCCGAAGGGCGTACGAGGGTAAACCAGGGTAAATCGTCTAGCCGACCCAGATTAAGCACAAAAAATGTATAAACGTCCTGTTTAAAATCGATCCCCGCCTCCCTAACCTTCTGAGAAGGGCGGTTGTTCCCTCTCTCAAACGCCCACGCATTAATACGGAACATCTAGATATTTCGTAAATCATCGATCCTAGAAACAATACAATCCTGACTGACACAATAACCAGGATCTTTTCTCGAAATATAATTACTTCGAAAATATAAACAATCAGCATAACAATTTAGCATAATTATCCTTTATCCAGCACAGAACAAGTAGGTTCGCACGCATACATTAAATATCACCAAATCGCATTTTGAGGTTCAGGCTCTTTTTCAACCTTAATATAAACAAAAGATATATAAAATAAACATATATTTTGTTTGTTTTATAATAATTTAGACTTTCCAGATTTCCTATATATACATTTCTTCAGAGATATTTTTTCTGTTACGCATGATAAATCTGACGAACTGTACTACAAACAATCAAACCGACTTATATTCAATCAATAAGAATTGATCATCACAGTCACACCGTCTGGACAAGCATCATTAAGCTACAGACAGTATGACTCAAACAGCCGTATCTCTGTTTTGGGAAAGATAGACAGGACGTAGATGATGATGATGGGAATTGTATGAATCGGGGTTTTGTTCTTCTCCAAGCACTGCAGCCATCTGCCTTATTGTACCTAGCCTAGGTTCCTCAATTCGGTTCGATTGACTCGATTCTTTTTTGTTTTAAGAAGTAGGCCATGGACTATTATCATTACTGCATATTAATAACTAATTGTAAAATCTGAAGAATCACAATCTGCTCGATCGATAAATATTTTCCTGAAAATTTACGTGAGCCTATCTTTACGACTATAAAACACTAGCATTAACATCATACTCTTCGTGTGGATTAAATTCCGTTTATTTATGAAAAAAATCTCACGAAATGCGAAATATTCGACCGAAAAAATGGACAAACTACTTTTATAGTTATAGTTTGTCGAAACTATTTCATTAAATAATATTGCACAGTTTTGAAGATTTTAAAATTGAGAGAAGTGTTATTTTTCTATTTAAGACATTAGTGAATGTCAAAAACATTGTTTTAACTACAAAGGCATAATCATTATAATTGCATGTGATTCTTAACGTAATTTTTTTTTATTTAAGGAACTACTGTACAATAAAACTTTTAATTTATTTAAGTCCTTGTTGTTATATTAACATTATTGATTAAGAATCGTTGGTGAAGTTATTGTTTTTCTTCCATTTTGTAAAAATATAATTCTTATTTCTTGAATTTCCTTTTTGAAAAGAAAATATTCTGAACTGGTTTTCTGATTATGCATTATAATATTTATTTGTAAATTTTTGACCTACATAAACTTAATTAATATTAGATGGAAAACTATTGTTAAAATTTTGCAAAAATTGTCATTTTGCCATGTTTGCCAAACAATATTACACCATTTTCTTTACTCGTTTATCCTATTTTTCCTAGGTTGTGTTTTATATTAAGTATTTGGTTGGCAGTTTGATGAACTTGAACAACCATTTTTTTAAATTGAAGCAATAAAACATGGTTGTCAAGTTCATCACGCTACCTACCGCTTTATTAAATGTTTTTGCATTTTCCAAACAGACTGCATATGGGTGATTAAGTCAAGAAAGAAAGTTTTACGCAACCTGCCATTTTAGACATAGTGAAAAGCTACAATTTTGTTGATTTTGCTTGTCTATTTTTTAGTTTGTAAACTCAAATAACTCATACACTAATACATAATAATTATATTTGTCTAGATGAGGCAAATAGATATATTTTTAGCCTTCTTATATTAGTATTTGTTTCGTTGGTAATAAATTAATGCATTTAAGGTTTGTCACATGTAAAATTTAGTTTTATTAATTTATTTTTAATAAAACTCGCCTTGTACTACTCGAATTTATGATTGAATAACTCCATAAGTAGTGGTGCGATAATACGTAAGTACATAAAATCTTGTTAAAAATGAGGAAGTGTCGGTGCATAATGTGGTAAGTTACAAAGAGTCAAGGTATTAAATATGACAACAATTTACAATGCATTTGATGAAACATGAGAAAAATAAAATATCTTACCACAAAAACTTAATTTGTTCCAAACGTTTTTTTTCTTTTTAACTTATCTAGTTTTGCCCCGATGGTGCAGAATTATTATTGATTTATCTCTAAGAACCTACTTGTACTAATTCTAAGTTATTCTTTCGTACTTGATTTATTAATTGTTAATAGTTTAATTTTATTTATCAAGCAGCTTAATTGATTTAGTTTTCTTTTTGAGTCACACTGAATTTTTTGGGATAAAAAAGACGAAATAACTGCCATTGTGGATACGTTTATAATTATACAATAATTATAACAAATACTTAATATTTGAGCTTTTTGTATATACGATACCATGTACTGAGAATATCTGGTTATTTCTTATAACACTAGGTGATCAACTTAAAAAAAAAAAAAAAAAAATAGGTTTTTGGTTGAAAAATTCGCAAATACGATAAAACGTTGGTTAATATTATTAAAAATATATTTTTCTGAACTAGTTCAATTAGTATAAAGTTAATATTGGGTCTTTCGAATTGGATTTAGTAACAATGTCAGTGAGATGTCATTTAAAACAACTCTTTTTTAAATCAGGTTTATTTATTTCATTTTTGCGCAGCATAATTGGGACAATCGGTCGAAACCAACTATCAGTAAACACGTTACTATAAAATATTTATTATTTTTTTTATTTTTGCTGGCTTTTATTTTTTAAATATATACTCCGGAGGCAAACGACACTATGACTATTCCTTCTTTACAGGAAATTAAACGGAAGGTGATGTTTACCTTTTACAGGTTATTTACAGGTAGGGCATTTTATAGCTACTTTTTTGAATTTTTCACACTTGATAAAAATAAATTTATATTCATTTATCCCACTGATTTAAACATTTGAGGAATATTGTATTTAAAAACAGAAAATATGGGTAAACATTGGATTTTTTTTTTTTTTTTGACAGTGTAGATATGTTTAATAACTTAGATTGGAGAGCAATTGGGTTTTGGCGCCAAAATCGTAACGTACAGTCGGGATAACTGGGAAAAAGCACTACATTTTAGGGGTTCATGCACAAAAACTATTTACGAGATGTTTAATCAGGGTTGATTGTTGCAGATCTCTATTTGACGATAAAAAACTATCAAATTTTCTAGAGCATGCTTTGAAAACACGACAAGTATGCAAGAGGTTTGTAAGATAACGGGATCAAATGTGATTTATCTCAATTTAATTACTATTCATCCCGGTGTTAAATAAAATAGGCAGTATGTTGTGATTGATCAGCGTCGTTTATTTACAAAAACACAGATGGAAGGTCGCAAACGAAAGGTAAGTACGGAGAGGGACGAAATGAAATTGTCATGGACTCACATTGAGATGACGGGCCGGGTGATCGGCATGGTCGTGTGGCCAAAATTTATCGGATCCAGGAGGCCAGTGGGGTCTTCTCGGCGGATCCTCCTGCTGCCGGACGTTGCCCAGATACGATGAGACCACGTTGTTCTGCATCAGTAGCATCGGAGTGTAGGTGAATTCACATGACACGAGGCCAACACGGTCAAGAACAAATCACAGCTCCTCCAGCTCGCACTGGACAAAAAACGGTTGTACATTTACCGGTATCGGGGACGGAGCGAGAGATTGCGGACTCGTCACGCGCAGAACACCTTAACCCCCTCCCTATCTGTAAACTACCCCTATGTCAGCCCTACCGAACACGTCGTCCCATTCACTGAAAATCAAATACCGATATGTCACATGTATATCTCTGGAGGATGGATCGACGGGAGGTTCACTCTTGGGAAAAAGGGTAGTAAGGAAAGTCGATACTGTGTTAGAAGAGAGATAGATAAAGAAGAGGGGGTTTACCACCCCCCCTTAACACTTACCACCTCCATCATGAGACCGGTGTTGGCTTTGCTAAGTTCTGATTGGTCTGGTAAAACACGCATGCGTGCCACTGCTGTTGCCCCTCTCTCCCCAGGGCTATAACGCCCCTCTCCTGAAACATACACAAAACATATACTCACATACACGAATTGGACACTCGCCGAGGTAACGTCCACCTCCCAACTTTCATCCGACCAGACCGTCTTTTCAAATAACATCATCTGTCTAATTACAGACAAAATGACGTCGGTAAAGAAAACTTATTCCCGTTTTGAACTAAACGGTACAAAAAGAAAATCTTTTCAACTATAAAGATAATTTTTTAAAAATCAGACGTCTCTAACAATCAGAATAGTATTCATAGGTTGAATCGACAATAAATTGACATCCATTCCAATCTTCCCCTCTTGACTTCGACTAAGAATCGAATTTACTTGAAAGCCGGATAATTTGCCATAAATTTAAAGCTCCCGCAAGATTAAACCATTCTATGGTTGAATCATCGCCCCATTATTAGATATGAAAACCTATAAAACTATTATATTTGTTCATGAGTACAGCATTAAATTTGTATTATTACATTGTACTAATTCATATTTCACACATAAAAACTGCATAGACTTGTCACTTGAAATTTCTCTTCTTCTTGGTCCTAATTCTCTCTGTCTCTCTCTCTCACTCTTTCTCTCTCTCTTTTTCTCTATTTTTCTGACTCTCTCCTTTCATTTTATACATCCTTTGCATAAGTTCTTAACGGTAATTTTAATATTATTGAGTGGGCCCCCAAATGGGTCCATTACAGTTGTACACAAAGCAAATAGGAGCATAATTAAAAAAGTCGATTACGCTATTACCCTTCCCCGCTCAAACTCTCTCAAACTCTCTCAAACTCTCTCTCTCTCTCTCTCTTTCTCTCTCTCTCTCTCTCTCTCTCTCTCTCTCTCTCTCTCTCTCTCTCTCTCTCTCTCACACACACACACACACACACACACACACACACACAAACCACTCAGAGAGAGAGGGAGAGAGGGAGAAAGAGAGAATCACACTCACGCCTTCTCTCTCTTAATCTTCAAAATCAAAATTACAGCAAATCTCTCTATCAGACTCGCTCTCTCTCTCTCTCTCTCTCTCTCTCTCTCTCTCTCTCTCTCTCTCTCTCTCCCTCTCTCTCTCTCTCTCTCTCACTCTCTCTCTCTCTCTCACACTTTGTCTGTCTGTCTTTCTGTCTCTCTCTCCCTCACTTTCTTTTCCTCCCTTTCCATTATTTCCCTTTCTTCCTCACTCCCTGCTATGTTTTTTATTCATGCGCCTTGCATAAAACTCTTTTGGTTCATTTTAATATTATCAAGTGGACGCATGGGAGGGGTTCTTCTTAAGTTTCTCAAAAAATAAACTTCTAGCCGATTTCTCTCTCACCCTCTCTCTCATACTCACATACTATCTCGCTTATTCACCCGCGTACACTCTCACGCTCATACTCTCTCTCCCTCATCATCTCATTTCCCCTCCCTCTCTTTCTCCCGAATCTCTAATCTCACGATTTTTTTAAACAAATTTATTGACAAATGTATAAACCACCCTTTCTAACAATTCATCCTATCAATTATTGTATCGAAAAAATAAAACGACGATTATTCTGCAATGCGTCACATTCCTAACTCTCGTCCACTTATTGAAAAAACAAAAATGTAAATAATTCATTTCTGTTTTTATCATTCTGTCTCCATCACTCGGGGACGAGAATGGTTAATTAGACGAAATAATAGTACCAATCCATCAATCGAATTGCCCCACGTTTTCTCCTCGTCCGGGAGAAAACCCAACATAATTTTAGTGCATAATTTTAATAATTCAACTAAATAAAATGGTGTCAACAGACTATTAAAATAATAAAAAATTAATATCTCACTGGAAGGACTAAAAATGATTCAGAAAAATTCACTTTTCATTCATTCTATACTTTTACCTTTTGTAAACATACGCGATTTCACACTAGGCTAATTTCTCTATTTCTCTCTTTCTCTCTCTCTCTCTCTCTCTCTCTCTCTCTCTCTCTCTCTCTATCTATCTATCTATCTATCTATCTATCTATCTATCTATCTTCTGTATCTCTCACCTTCTCTTACTCCCTCTGAATATGTATTTTCTCTCATTGCCCAAAATCATTTTATTTATGTAAACCAATAAATATGTAAATAATAATCTACAAGTTATAACTTAATTTTTTAACAATGATTCTCGATCGAGTATAAGTCCCATGACCAAACAGCATTTGTTGAAAAGATGTAGATCACATCCTCACATTGGCCATTTAATTAAAGAAATAAAGTTACTTTCTTAAAGTTGTATGGAAGTGAATGAAAATAATATAAATCATTAAAAATGAAGAGAAAGTTCTGAAATCAAAAGTAAATATTTACAAAGTTCCCAAAATATTGTTAGTTATTATTAGCCAGTGGGGGGGGGGATAATAAAAACTGATTAACACGGTACAGTTACAAAACAAAAAGCGGAAGTAAAAAAAATTGCCAAATTTATATGTATTGGATGTGGTATTTTTTTATATTTTTTAAAATAAAATCTATTGAAATAAATTTGAATTTTTTATTAGCAATAAAATAAATCGATATTTAAATAAACTGGGTTGGCAGAATTCGCAAAAAGGCCGCTTTTGTTTCAGGGCCGTTCACTCCTGTTATATTGCATAGAGGAAGATGAGAATGTGATTGATATTGTGAATGTGGAAATATTACTTATCAATACTCAAGGTTTGTCGCATTTCGTGTGGGCGAATCGGATATGCAACATGACCCATATTTTTTAATTCACTTAAGTCATTTTTGTAAGTAGATTTTTCGCTTTTCTTTTTTTAAATTAATTTTCTATATGAATCACTTGCGTGATGGCAGAACACTTCGTCTTGACGTTTATGGAGCACCATTTTAAACGCAATAAACAATGTTTTAGTTGTTTGTTTTTTTAATTATTCTGCTGTTGTCATCATGACTGACGAATTTGGTGACCATATCCAATTTCCGAAGCATCGTCGTAAAGGAAATTCGGACGTATGTCGCATCATGACGCATACGCGAACTACCTGTCAGTAACGCGTTCAACAGAGCGTAAAATGAGGACTTCCTTTCAAAACGAAAACAGCTAATTACACCTGTCTCAAATGGGTTTTGACAAGGGAGCGAGTGCGAATCCTAATCCGTAGTGTTCATGTATTAAATATAAGAAGAAAAAACGCAGAGTAAATTTGTGATAAATTGTACATAGCAAAAAAACCGTTAAGCCTCATAAAACACGCAATGAAATGCTACGAGGAAATAGGAAGTTGTATTAAACAAATATGCTATAAATGTACCATGGGTTAAACAATTCCCTAGCAATTTCCCCCTTTAAATAGCTTTTAAAACCATGTGTGATTATGTACCACGTAAGTTTTCTTTTTTCACTTTTTGCTACATCGACATAAATATTTTTTTTTTTAAATCCCCCTGTTATCAAACAATCAGGAACTATTTATTTTGATTTCAATTTTAATAATATAACTTGCCTTACACTCGTACATATTTCTTATGCATTTACAATTAGTAATTTATAGCAATTATTCTCAGAGCATTAATAAAACCATTTTCATTTTGTTTTCCGTTAAATGTAAAACAAGTGTTTTAATTATGGAATAAAACTCCTAGGACATGTGATTTCCCATAGTAACGTGTAAGTTCGAGAAACGAATGCGAAAATTAATTACTTTTATTAATTATACACGAACATACTAATTGATAATCACGATTTCATTAATTCTTCCATATCTACGATCAAAACTAATAACTTTTACTAAACACAGGCGATTTTTCTTCTTTGAATTTAGAAATATGTGTTATGTGGAGGTAATTTTTTTCCCCATATTAAATTGAATATTTTGACGATTTAAACATTCTATTATTTGATGACTCATCATTTAGAACGAATCAACCACACTGGATTATTAAATAAATAATAATAAGTATAATTAAATAAATTAAACTTTTTGTAAAAGAACAAAATAATACTTATAAAGGCATGAACTAATTATCTGCCAAAATAAATAAATTAATTATTCAGAAATCGTGAGATGCGGTCTGGTGTGATGTAGGTTTCAGAAAAACATTTTCTTTAACGTGCCAACGTTTCGATCTTTATTGAGATCATCTTCAGGGCTCAAAGTGTTTGTCTTCTGTGTAATTGTGCCATTCTTGCTTTATTTTCAGCAAATGTGATGATTTTAATTTTAGTCTAGTTTATTTATAATTTAAATATTAAGAAGGACATGAACAGATACGGCATGAAACCCTCCTGTAAAAAACAATGTATCAACCGCAGATCTACCAAGAACTACATAACTGTAAGAAAAAGTATTTCAACCCTACCAACCTAACTACTAAACTACCTACACTCATATTCTACCAACGCACATGCCAAACCTCCGGTAGTTAGTGAACTCTACCTATCACGTAACCGAAACTACAACCATCCTATTCTATCAACAAACCTACCAACCAAATTAATAACTAGTTTCATTGCGTATTTTATGACAGGCAATGCAGTAACCTAATCACCATAATCCAAATTACTTGCCTTACAGATAATCTACTAACCAATAACTACTTACCAACCTACAATAACAACGAGGATAGACGGACCCGCTAAAGTTATAATTGTCAATTATTTTAACATAAATCATATATATTATGTAATTATTCTATACTGGCCCTTGAGATGTTTTTATTTATTTAGGTCAATCTTTATTTTAATTTAATTATACAGTAGTCAGTTTTTCATATAATAAAAACGTATGCCAACAATACGAATTTAATCTTTCCCTTCACTTAAAACTTTGATTTGCCGTGATTCAATTTTTTTGGAGGGGTTGATCTATTATACTCTTCGAAAATAGAAT